CATTTCAGCAAGATCTTTAAGACATCTTCTACCCTTTTGAAGTCACCCATTGTTGTTGGGTTTTTTTTGGGGGGGGGGGTTGGTCTTTTTGTGATATGACATGGCCTGGTTCCTGGTACAGGCGAGGGAGAAATTTCACCCCATTGCCCTCACTTCTTTGCAACACAACAGCATTGTTTGCAATGCAACAGAAACGGCTGGCTGTTGAAGTGCTGGAGAACATCAACATGGTTGAAGAAACATCCAGCTCAGTTCCAGACAGCATCATCAAACATCCTAATTGACAATTGCTCAGAGAAGAGAAACATGTTGTTTGCTTCATATTCCTCATTTCCCCAAAACAATACAAAGGCCAATTCAAATTTGGTCTCATTTGGCAAGGGTGGCCATTTTCCACCATGGCTGCTCATGCAGTGGACATAATTTTAACAATGTGTTATGCATGTTGCCTGAAACTGAATTGAAAATAAAGTGAGTCAACTCAACACAGCACTGATCCTTATATCCTGTAACTGCCCAGAGAGCTGTGCCTACTGAGCAGTATAAAAATGAATGAATGAATGAATGTAGTCTAACGCATCTACTTTTTTCTTTTGCAGAAGTGAACAGTAGATAGCAATATATACTGACATATCTATGAATACACATATCTATACTGCACTTCATTCTTAGGACAGGAACCATTTTCAGCACAAGCAGTCCTACATCCAGAGAAAGACAGTTCACAGTAGGCATTCTGAATGTGCGGAAGAACAATCCAGTGAATTTCCCACCCCTGCTCATTATGCTCATTCCATCCCAAAACAGCCTGGTAGATGTTATTCATGAGGGATGCTGTTGCACACTATCTTCCATCAGTAGAATGTCTTTACAGCATCTTTCCTGTAAAAGACATTACCCCCTCTTCGTTCGCTAATATGCTCTCACTGTTGCAAAGCTAAATTGGATGGAGTACTGAACAACGTTGCCTCAACAATGCTCTGACTTCCTGCCTTTCAACACCAAAGTGAGCCAGCGCATGTGAAATCTCACTATCTGTCTCATGCAATCATTTTCCCCTTTCAGGAAAATAATGGTGCAATGTACAGCAAGCCTCAAAAAGACTGGTAATGCCTTTTCTACTCTTCACCAGGTTTTATGCTATTATCGTGATCATCTACATATGCAAAGTTAGTCCTAGTACCAAAACATACCCACAGTTGATGTACTAAATTAGGCATGGGCATGAAACTGAATTGTGTGAAATTCACAGCAGGTAAAAGGATGCACTTCTTTCAGAGTTAAACTGTAGCATTTGCTAGCATAAGATCTAGCAAGGGCCACAGACTTGAATGGCCTTAAAGACAAATTCATGGAGAAGAAAGTGATCAATGGCTGCTAGACCTGATGGCTATATGCCACCTCCAGGCTCAGAGGCAGTACGCCTATGAATACCGGTTGCTACTACACGCATGTTTTACTTGTGTGCTTCCCCACAGGCAGCTGGTTGACCACTATATGGGCAAAATGCTGGACCCTTGGTCTGATCCAGCATGGATCTACTTATGCCTCATGCTTTAGCCCAGCATCTTTCTAATATCCAAAATCAGGCTAATATCACATAAATGTCAGATACTGTACCTTTGCATATATGACACAACAATGTCAACTATAGAGAAAAACTGGGACTTGAAGATCAAACCAAACTTTACAGAGAGAACATGGGGTTCCTGATGTCATGACTCTACATTAACAGAGGCTAGAAACCACATGCAAAGACGAATCAGCCGAGGAGTGAGAAATACCTAATCTAGCCACTCTTTCAGTATCCAAAACTGGAAGTAATCCTGGCTGGGCGGGTGGCATGGCCTTTGGGAAGGCGTTTGCAGATAAGAAGGAGGAAGCAACTTTCTGTGAAGGAGCCAGAGCAGATGAGTTAATCTTTACCAGGAAAAATGACAGCTTTAAAGACTACTAGTTTAATCATGGGATAAGCTTATGTGGAATAAACTATACTTATTTCTGTTTCCTTCTATATCCCTGCATTGAAGGAAACATTCCTAAAATGGACTGGATATTCCATGAATTGAACTCAGAGCCATGGAAGCTCATTAATTAATTAATTAATTAATTAATTAATTAAAACATTTTTATGCCGCCCCATTCGCCGAAGCCTCGGGGCGGCTTACAATAATAAATAAAAGTAATTATAATATAAATTACAAAAAATATAAACATTAAAAATCCAAAAATACAATATAAAATAAGCTGCCCTGGCCAGATAAAATCAAGTAATACTAACAGTTAAAATGTTGCTTAAATAAAAAGGTCTTCGCCTGGCACCGAAAAACAAATAACAAAAAACAAATATGTCACAATAAATTCATTAGTCTCTAAGGTGTCATAAGACCTTTATTGTTTAGGCACAGGAAAGATTAAGAACGCCTTCTCATCACTGATCATCCCCGTGAGTGGTCCTCCAGCCACTTAACTCCTATTATTTCAGCACTTGTGCTGCTGCTCTTCAGAGACATCTCACTTCAAAACAAACAGAAGAATCAGTGAAAATTTCTGATTTCCTTCATCCTGATTTGAAACAATTCCTAATTCTTAAGTCTTGATACCATCATCCTAATATTTCCTCCTTGTCTGTGCATTTTTCCCCAAACGCATCCACTTATTACATGGGGTGCAGACCAGTATACATTGTAGGCTAAGGCAGCAGATTATGCTTATGGCCATTATCCCCAGTATGAAAACATGTGCTCCAACCGCATAAAGTTGGGGAGTCATTATGTCAGCCATTCTCCTATTCCTGACTCCTGCGTTATTTTGATCCCTGGTATTACCTGTTGGACTGCTCTTAAATCTTCCTTGACGTCTGTTGTGTTTAAATCCATCTCGTAGGTGTGTCCAATCACCCCACAGGCCCCTCCTTTGGTACTAAAACATGATTCAGAGCCACCCTATTTTGTGGTGTATATGCCTCCATGTGTTGCATCTCTCCAGCCGGCTTTCCTAGTGCGTGCATAGTAGCATTTCCAAGAGCCACTATTGCACAGGCCATTTGCTCCTGAAGATGTGCTAAATATACATGGGTAGACACTGCAAAGGAGGTTATTCCAATCCCTATCACCTCTCCTCTTGTTGGAATTGTCAGCTCCTTTCCTGCGCAGCTCCTCCGTTACTGTATGTCTCTAGCATGTCTTCGTGAATACTGATCCTGGCAGGGTACATCTCCTAACTTTATTATTCCTACTGCCACTCCTGCACCTTCCTTATGATAACTGGAGAATCTCCCCACACCCCCATTTTCAAGAAAAAATATCCAGGAAGGGTTACACACCCATCCTCACATACATAGGTGCCAACCCAGTGCAGCATGACTGCTTTCCAGTATCCTTTGGGCCTCCTCTTGTGATCTCAGATATATCACACTTCCATCCAGTCATGTTAACCGGTAAAAGACTCCATTCTCCTCAAACTGGAGCCCTGAGCACACACTCATTCACCTTTATGGTCCACCTGTCACAGTCCCTGGTGCATCCCCATTTTACACATTTAGCTTCCTTCTTCAAAACACTCCTCTTTCCCATAGATCCTCTAACCTTTGAAAAGAGGTTCTCTATCCAAGCCTGGAGCAGTCCTCATCTCCCGGTTCATTCCCCAATTTCCTGCTCACTCATATCCAAAATGCCCCTAAATTATCTTAATTATCTTTGATGTCCAAAAGTGAATTCCCCCTTATTCCCCTTTGCCAACAAGCATCAGTGGGCATCCTTGATGTCTTGCTGCACCGCTTTCCACTCTGGATTAGCCGCCCACACTTGCTCTATCCCTGCTTCCACTGTAACCCAGCTGTAAAATTGCCACTGAGGCACAGGGATCACTATGTGTTTTGGCATGCAAACGAGGACGATTGCAATGCTGTCTATCTGGCAGCGTTATCTGCCCTACCTGATCAGCAAAACAATGGCCCCAGCAGCCCCTATACAAGCCACCAGTTCCCATCCTCTTGAACCAACAGCCAATACCAACAGAGATCTGACCTTAGCACAGAGGTGCATATAAGCAACCCCCTCGCCAGGATTTTCATTTTTCTCCAACAGTTCCCCCCTTTTGTGAGCAACCAAACAAATCAGCCAGTTCAGATGACTCCTGGTGCTTCCTCTTTCTCAGGAAGCAGCTTCTATCCATGCAGCTCAGATGGGGATTGTCTTAGTCAAACCCCTTGATCTCTTTGCCTCCTCCTTTGGCTGCAAGGAACTTAGTGCCAGCCAGCTCTCACCTTTAACCTGCTCCCCTGCACTTTTGCAGCACTGCTACCCAATCTATTTTGAGGCCTGGTTTCTTTGCTCCCTAGGCCCCTCCTTTTGACCCATTGACCTAAAGATATGATCCTCACTAGGGTTGAGACCCCCACGATGATGAATACTTTGTCTAAGGCCACCATCCCTTTTTGGTCAACAGCCTTGGGTTAGCCTGCTTTGCAAGGTGGGAGCAGTGTGAAATGAGGCAATGGCCTAATGTCCAGTTCAGTTATCTGCTTTGTCCTTTGAGGCGATTCTTCGAGATTTCTTTGTCTAGGCTTCACTCAATTTCTGGACTCAGCTGTGCACTTGGGCTGTAGGATTTGTCTCTCACGGTTTGCCTGGTTAGTCCTTTGCTTCTTCATGGATGATACAAAGAGCAAGACAGAACACAGGAATCACAGTCTTTGCAGTTCCAGTTCATCTGGTGTCTGGAAAGTACAGCTCACAAAACAGGTGGATTAGAAAAAAACCCTTTACATTTCTTCACAGACACTGGTTAACCACGTTAGCTTGGAGAGAAAGTTGAGAAATCTTTGTCCCTTTTCAAGCCTGGTCCCCCCCCCCCCACACATGTCTGTTCAGCACAGTCTCAAGAAAAATGTCTGAGATGTTCAAATCCAACCCATGCCAAAAGCGCACACAAGAGGAACCCCTTGTTGAACTTGCGTGCTTCAAACCCATTGCTTGGTTAAAGCAAACTGTGCCTTCTGATGGCATTTGTCCAGTGAGAACATGGTATCACACAAATTCTTACAGAGATGGTACCCCCTCCCCCACATACAGAAATACAAAAATGTTCCAAATCCATTACATATACATGCTACTTGAACTAGCACCCTTCACAATCAAACAATCAATGCTTGTTCATCTTGATGAGCATGGCTGCTTATGCTCACAGCAAGAAAAATTAAAAAAAAAAAACCTTGCCATTTCCTGGGGCTAGCAAATAGGCTTAGTCCCCATCCCCACCCCACAAACATTAGGTTACTGTAAGGAAAACTGTCCTTAGCACCATCAATATTCCTTTCTTGTACAAAACACCCTCCATAGCTATCTTTCCTTGCAAAATTTGGAGCCTGATCAAAATATTTGGCAACATTGCAAAAAGGAAAAGGGAACGACCCTCTTGTTGAAACCACAGGGAAAAGTAGTCTCCCACTGTGCACCCATGTGCACACGCACACACCCAACCAAACCGCCCCAGTTCCACCCATTACCCCCCTTCTTCCACTCTTTGTGTTGTGGCACAGCCACAAGATGGTATACCTAGAATTCAGAACATATTCCCCTCCCCCTTCCACACAAAACTCCTGGTAGTCAACACAAACAATTAATGCATTCCCACAATACCGCTTCTAGGTGGTTTCCTTCCCTTAAAAAAATTCCCCTCAGCCTCCCCATTGAGAGTGCTCAAGGAGCCTTTGTTTCAACCCAATCCTTTCCCATGCAGAATTTTTCCTGAGGCAATGCAGGCACCCTCTGGTTGATGGACCTTAACAGTCTGGCAAAAAAACTAAAAACCTGAAAAATAGTAACAAATCAAAGTAGAACCCACAAGTCAGAGGCCAGCTCACCCAATGCATATTCTACCGCAGGACCACAACTCCTAAGTTTTGCAGCAGTATCCATAATGCTAACAGAAACTTGCTTGCACTATTGGTTGACTTGCTTAAGAGGAAACCACAGCAGACATTAGAAGAAACAGCAAGCTACTATCACTGTGTTTCTTCCTCTTCTTTTTCCATTAACTACTGTGTTGTACATTTTGCAGCTACATCCTGGGTGAGTTGTACATCCTTGGCTCACATGTTGTTGCATAATTTACTAAGAAGTAGACCTATAGTCTAGTAGTCCTTCTAGGACATTGTCACCTGCATAGTGCTAAACAGTGCCCTGATACTCAGTCACCTGCCTTCTACAGTTATTGTTCTATAAATGTAACATGCCTGGGGCATAAAATTCCCCCCTCCTAAATCTACATAACAATAGATAATTGAGGTGCTTTTGTGGTGGCACACAAACTGGGGTACAAAATAAAGTTGCCTACTGGAAATCTTAATTTGTTCTGAGTACCAAAAGAGGAACAAACCCCTCCTTCATCCAAAAACTGGAATCTATTTTCTTACGCTGATTATAAATTGATAGGGCAAAGCCTTGTTATTCAAATTGTAAGTTCATATAGAAAGGCGGTTGCTATGTTGATTGTATGTTGATAAGGAAAGGCACTGTTATGATAACTGTCTGAAGTTGTCTGTACTAGCTGAAACCTGAAATCCATTGTTTGTAACCTGTTGGGGAAACATTCAGTCAAATAATGGCCTTTCATAGGGGACATTTGCATTACCTGAGCTGATTTGTGTCTAGGGTGCAAAAAAGAGATCCTCAAAATGAAGAATATTATGGGCTGCTGCTACTGCTGCTGCAATAAATCAACTGGTCTAATACAATTAACACTGATATTTTTTTATTCTGGCCATGACAGGTAAAAGGCGAGAGGGGAGGATGTGAACTGCAACATCCAATTTCACCCTTGGATGAGGTTCATTTGATATTCCCAATAATCCTGCTAAAGCTGGGTCTTGATCTAGGCAGTACCCAGATGGGAGGACATAGAAGACCCTATACATGCCCCCTTGACTTTCATCACAGAATAAAGATAAGATATATATTTAACAGACTTGCTGGTATCTCTGCCCACAAATGCCCCAACATAAAATAATGGAACAATTCAGTATTTCCATAACTGCATTATATTCTATATTCTTCAGAATGGCCATTATGTGTTTCAGGATTACTAGATTCTTTCTAGGGGAGCATCTGACTCTATGCTGTTGCTGATAATTTTATTTACTAAATATTACACCCATGACTGCCTTGAGCACAAACAACGTAAAGTACATCAATACCTTAGGAGCACTGAACCTCCTACTGAATGTAGGCACAACCCTATATTTGTTTAGACAAAGTTAAGTCCAATGATTCATAGCATTTCCCTGACAGCCCTTAAAAACTGTTGTGTGACCTTTGGATATATAACAAATCTTACTGGGAGTGGTTCTCTAAGAAACTAGCACTGAATAAAGCACAATATCAGGTGCTGCAGAAAGGTATAGGAGCTACATGTCTACTCAGAAGTAAGTCCCTGAAGGATCTAGGAGCACCCCTACACTGTGTGCCTAGCATTGCAAGGGGAGTGCAATCCCACGCAAAATAGGAGAAATTCCCCTTTATATCCACACAGCCCTATGTTCAAAGCCATCTGATCTATTTTCATAGTGAAAAAAATGGTAAGGATTCTAAGAGAAACATCAATGAAGTGCCAAGTTTTGACAGAATGGAATAGGAAAGGATGGTTCAGAGAAGCATTCAGTGATTTCATTTAATATTTCATGCAAGCATACTAATCTCCATTTAGGCTGCAACCCTATATGGGAGTAAAACCCACTGAATTCAGTGAGACTTACCTCTGAGTAGATATGTCTAGGTAGCTAACGAGCATTAACTAATGTTTGGCACTTGAGTCAAGCCAGTACATCTTGCACCTATTTCTTCTTCTATGACTTCCTGTGTTAACTGAAACTATTTGCTTCCTGCCTGTGGTACACAGTGCTGGATCACCTTGCTTAATTGTGAGAAGGTAGTCTGTGAAGAGGCTTAAGGTCTCAGAACAATTGCATAAGTACAGTGGGATTGGACCAGATGAGTATCTGGTGCTATTAGGAACTCGAGGTCTACCCACTGAAATGCAGGATGCTCGGACCACAGTGGAGCATGCACTGTTAAGCTATTCAAAGGCAACAGCACTAAAAGCAGATCAGCACCAGGCTGCGCTGACAGCTGCGCTCTGCGGACTGGTGCCTCCGCATTGCAGTCTAACAGAGAAACTGATAGACAAGCGGAATGGCACTTACCCATGCAAGAGGAAAAGGCAGCTTCTCCTAAAATATCAACAGCCTAATCAGAGCACCACTGATGCAACTTAATCAGCCATGAATGTTATTTAATCAGCCAGGATAAATTAAAGGAAAGTCTTATTGTTATTTTGAAATGAGTGTCATGATACAGGGATAGTTTTATGTACATCCAGACAAACGGTGCATCTAACACAGCAATGCCAAGCTTGAGGACTCACAGCATCACACCAAAGTCAAAGGTGTTGCTAACATACATTAATTAGTGACTGAATTATGAATGAGGACACAATCCTATTCATGTTTAGACAAAACATCTACTGAACATTTAGAGTGAAAAGACGCTGGCTGGGAAATGCTGGAAGTCCGGATTTTTTCCCTTTTTTCTAAACATGCCCAGGATTGTACCGTAAATGTAGCATGGCTCTAACCAGGATTGAGATTCATCCTTTTAATCTATACAACCATTTAGTTTGAGTGTTATTTCTCCCCCACCTTTTTACTGATATGTTCAAAGCAACTAAGAATTTGGGCTGGAAAACTTCTCATTAGCTGCTTAAGCTTGTGAGATGATGCAACATTATTTCTGTTGTTACTTTAATTCATCCTTTACAGCACCACCCCAGAGACGTCCTACAGATGCTTTCCTGTGCAGTGACAGAAGTATTTGAAGAGGAGGGGCAGGACTTCAGATGACTGGAATGGCTCTAACTCAACTCCCCCACCTGGCATCCTCCCCTGCCAGCACAGAGATTTCACACATCTAGAGGAGGCCAAGCGGGGAGGGGGGCTGTACTAACAAAACAAGGGCATGATTCAAGGGTGAGCATCACCAATCATAATTCTCTGAATGACCACCTTTAGTGGCCAAAACAGTACCATCCACTAACAACACTGAAGGATCTGCAGGCTTGGGGAAGCCCAAAGGTTACATCAGACTCAAGGTGGGGGAACCTTTAAGGAGCAAGATAGCCTAATGAGCAAGGGAGCCAAAACAAGCAAGCACACCAAACAGCCTAATGAGGGCTCAACATGCTCACAGATCACAGAATGTAGAGTGTAGCAGGTAAATATATGTAGCAGGGTAAAGGAATCGAATAGAATATCGTGGGAAAGAATTGACCCTTAGAACATCTCAAACCTACACCCTTAGGAGCATCTCAAACAGGGGCATTTCGTTGTGGCAGCTACTTACAAAAGTATATACATTCGCTTCCACCTTTTATCCTCACAACACCCCTGTGAGGTGGGTCAGGCTGAGAACGGAGGACTTGCCTGAAGTCGTCCTGCGTGTGAGAGGTTTCCCCCAGGGCCCTAGTCCAATGCTCTGAAGCTCTACTACGGTCGAGGTTGCCCAGGACGGAGAGGAGCTTTGCATCATCAGGAAGGTTAGTGTTGAAACGGCCGCTTTGCGCAGTCCACGTAGCCACGCGCCCGTCAACGCGTACGAGGTCGCCATCTGATCTCTCAGACGGACCCACCTGCCCGCTGCTTCGGGAGCCGCGCCAGCCACAGCCGGGGAGCATTCCCGGGAAGGCCGAGCGGGCAGCGGCCCCGCCGCCGAGGAGAGGCTCGCTGGGCCGCAGGCGGAGCCACCTGCGCGTGGGCGGGGCTCGAGCCGGCGGCACCTGTCGGCCTGGCGCCCCAGCCGCTTCCCGGCCCTTTTCCTCGGGGCTCCGCCGCGACGCGGGAGCCGGCAGCACTCGGGGCACGAGCCTCCCGGCCGGCGCGGGACAGCATGGCCGCGGCGGTGCGCAGCCTCACGGACGCGCAACTCGTCGCCCGCTTCCAGCGCTTCTGTGGTCTCTTCCCGGGCGCCGGAGGCGGAGGAGCTCCGCGGGCGGGCAATGGCAGCCA